AAACTAAAATACTGGTGGTAATTTTTGACTGTGTAACTTTGCAAACAGCACCCCATGTGTTTATTATATTTTTCAAGCCTGTAAAATATATGGCAAATTTATTTGGAAACAGTTATTTGAATATATTGTCACCAAATCAATATTTAAAATGATTGGAAATAACTGTAAGCTGGTTTTCCAAGGGTCATGGATATGTTTCATATGCTAAACGATATGATTTACTTGAAACAAGTCATAGACTAAAGCAATTAAACTTACTTAATTGAACAAGTTTCTATATAGATTGATGGTTTGCAGGGCGTTTAACAGTCTTAATATATTACAGATTTTATGCCACCTGAAGAAAAAAAAATAATTTGCACACCAAAACTGGAGTCAGTATGCTCATAAAGAAAGAAAAATTAAAAAAAATAAAATGGTACAAGCTGAAGGTAATGAGGTGTGATCAGCTCTAAAGAAAATAGACTTTATGAATACATGTTTTTTTCTAAAGCCATTAACATTAATATTAGCAAACCTGCTGAAAGTCCATTTTTGTGCCTGCATCAGCGAAAATTGAAAGAAGTGTTAAGACTCTGATTGCAGCTGAGCGACTTCTCCAGCAGCCTCTTAAGGAGCCCTCAAACTGCGGCAGCCTCATTACAGTTAATATAATTATTAAGGGAAACCTTAATGGACTGATAAGTACTCCCTGGGCTTTATCTCCGACAGGCAGAAGAAATGTCTGGCTATCTATAGCTCCAAAGAGAAAACTGAGAGAAAAAAAGAGAGTTTTGCAGAGCTTTATGGCTGCATGARAACAGAGGGAAACTTTGTGATTTCATCGATCAGGACTACTTATGTCTCTCAGCCGCTGCTTGATGGATGTTCACATTTCAAGCCCATTTTAAAAGATAAAGACACCTTTTTGTTTAGGATGTACCAAAAGAATTTCAGCATTCTTCAGAGATAAACCTACTATTTGACATATTTGATGCTTCAAGAGGAGGAGGTCAAGTATCTGTCTCTTTTTGAGTGACGGTGAGGTGGAGCAGGAGATCAGAGCTCTGTTTACAGTAATGACAGCATTGATMCGGTCTACAGTGGTGAAAACAGAGCTGAGCTTTCTGTTTACTGGTCCATCCACTTTCCAACCCGCTCACTTATTGTAATATTTTGTGGCCATCACTTAAAAGATTTTTTATTGTTTTGACACTAATTTTACTGAATTTACTTTACAAGCATATTGAAAGCGTTGTTGTTAATTTTCAGTGTGTTATGGGAGTTTATCCTGGCTGCTGTAAGTAAAAATACAGCAATGAATACACCACCATAACATACCTCCATATTAAGATAAAAAGATGTTTTTCATTGTTAATCAGAACATTTTGTGCTGTTGGTACAATAATACACTTCATTTTAAAGTATTCTAGAAACTATTGTTATCAGTTTAACACTGATTTGATGGTAATTTATGCTGCTGGAAAATAGTTGGTTACTGTAATTTTAACAATTAGTTGTTTGCAGTGTTTGCTATAGTTTAATTTCTCTAGTTTGAATCATCTGGTGTTCCTTTTCTTCAGTTTTTTTATTTTAATTTGTTACCAGCTTAGTCAGGCAGTAGAATTTTTGTGTTTTTGTACTCCGTTATTGTTGCCAAAGTTCCCCGTATAATTTGCCACTCAGTGCCTATTGTTCATCTGCTTGTTAGCACACCTGTTCTCCCTCACCAGGCATTCAAACTCCAAAATCGTATTCAGTCAGATTCTTGTTTTTCATACTGTATCCTAGTCCCAGATCTGTTCTGGATCTCCAGTAAGTTTTGCTTTTCTTATTAAGCTCCTGTTATTAAATTTGATTTGGACTACATCATGTCTGTCTGCCCGCTTCCTGAAATCGTTAATCTTTGGTCCCTGACTACACAACCTCCAAATGAGGTGAGTCATGAGCAAGAGAACAAAATCCAGGACACAAGTGGCCGATGGTGGATTTCAGGGTGAACAGGTTCAGACAGAGATGTGTGTAGGGCTTCATCATCATCATCATCATCATCATCATCATCGATGGATGGATGGATGGATGGATGGATGGATGGATGGATGGATGGATGGATGGATGGATGGATGGATGGATGGA